GAGGGTCCATTTTGATCTCTGCATAACCAACATAGCAAGCTGTGTGTTCAAAAGGGCAATGCCACATTTACTTTTTAATTACATGCTTCTGTACCCAAGGTCAGTAAGCATTCCTGACACAGCAACTCTTCTGGAATTCAATTACTTGATCGTTTTATTTATGCAAGAGGTTCTTCGTTCAGGGGCAAAAGGAAGATTACTCAGATAATATGATTTAAGTACTGTACTGTAGTATTAATTCAGGAATTTCCAAACTCCCAAGTGCTTGGCTTTTCACACAAAGTTATGTTTAGGTCTCTTTAGTTGGTTAATTATATACAGTATTTATCTGTGCCATACCAGAACTCTGTGATGTTAACTCATCTGTGTAGAGATTGTAGCATGTTCAATAAAATGTCATATTGGTCATGAGTAGGAGCAGGGAGAGAAGAGCAGGAAAGTGGATTTGTGCCATGTATCAAAGGAAGATTAGTGCTTTCATCTGATTATTTCAGAAAATATATGGCTTCATGTTCCTTGGCCTGCTTGTTCAAAGTAACACAGACATATTGTCTCAGTGGAAAGCTGGTATTGTTTGCATTAGATTAACATTGGATAAATTAAGAAAGCCGGGGCTGCACACTGCAGACTCCAGGCAGAAAGAAGCATCTGGGGGGTGGCTGGGCCTGCTTGTAGTGTTGGGAAGTTCCACCAGTTCATGAAAATTGTACTGGTATCTTCCTCATCCCTCAGGTCCTGCTCTGTAATCCCCTTTCTTTGGAGAAACTGAAATTATTGAGATCTAGTTGTTTAATTCAGCACATTTCTTCTACCTTTACTTGGACCAAACAGTGCAACTATGAGGGAGGCAAAGAGATACCTAGGTTCCTTGCTACTACCAAAGCCTTCCTGCCTCTTGCAATCTTCTTCTTCTTCTTCATGTTTCTTTTCCTCACTCCCACAAGGGGTCACGAATTATGTTGCTCAGGCTCTAGCCTGGCATAGAGAGAGGGTTGAATCCTGAAGCCTCCTTAACAAATAAAGGGGGCCATTATCAGTTTCATACACAAGGAACTACGTATGTTGCTTTGCTTCTTTTTTGCCTTGGGAGAAGAATATTTCTCCCAAAGACTCTGTCTAGGGACCTGGCCTGAGAGATATTGCACTAGAAAAAGGAATGAGGGAGAGAGAGAGAGACTGAACTGAGCTTGAGAACAGGCAATCAACTAAGAGATAGGCACAATCGCTAGTCTGCATCTCCCATTGGCTGTGTTGGCTGGAGCTGAGAAGAGTGGACGCTAGCGTTGTTTGGAGAATCACATGTTCCTCACCCGTTTGAGTTTTCTACCACTGAACAATTAATCATGAACAATGTATTCTTCATACAACTCTGATGCTTCTAAATTTCATTTTTTCTTAACATACCACCTTGGTCTCCTCTCTTCCATTCAAAGCACTTATTTATTTTATTTAATATATTTTGCCCCACCTTTCTCCTCAAAATGGACCCACTTCTGAAGTGTACAGCTGTAGACAAATGGTAAATTAAAGAAATAGCTTCTCACTCTGCAAATTTTTCAGGCTCTTCCAATTCGTTTTGCCTTAATGTTGTTAACTGATCTTATTAGAACTTTCACTGGATGGGAACTTGAGTCATGGGACTCACTGTCAAGTGGGACTTAAGTCACATCAGTGACTTGACTTGGACTCAACTCAGGGGTTTTTTGGTTTGTTTGTTTGTTTGTTTGTTTCCAATGACTTGGACTCAACTTGTAACTCAGAACCCACTCACCCACCTATTCTCTTTTTTTCTGGGGGGAAAAGTTTGTAATAGAACTCAGACTTGGGGGTGTGGGACATATGACTTGGTACCAAAGACTCTGACTCAAGACTCAGACCCAAAGACTTGGCAATATCCCTGAAACTTTCCCTGATATCCAAACATTTCTGTTACCTTGCTTTGTACAAGATCTTCCTTACAACTCCCACACCTCTTTGTTCTTTCAGCAATTCACAATGGATTTTTTATTTTGTTCTCTTTTGTATCAGTAAATTCAGTGCCCTTATTTGCTGGTGTGCCTCTTCCTCGCAGATTGTTTCTGGGTGTGTCTTTGGAAAAGTATACACATATTTCTACATCTTTCTATGTTTCTCCAGGCATCTACTTTTCCTTTCACCATTCTTCCTCTCCTCCTTTATCTTTATGTTATAAGTATAGGTTTGTAGTGCTAGTCTGTTAACATTTTAAAAAAGGGTTTATGAGAATGTGGAAAAACTTGACAAAACCAAGACAAGATAGCATTAAGTTCAAGCATATGCTTCAACGCAAGGCATAGAGATAGTGGGAAAGAAACAGTTAAGCACTGAAGCAGTTTAGCACCATGTTGTTATTCTTTTTTTTTGGTTTTAAGCATGTTAAAAACCAAGCTAAAAACATGAAATGGACTACAAGTCAAATGTTGACTTAAAGGATAATAAGACCACTGACATGGTGGGAGGGAAACAGCATAGGATTAGACTGTTAACAGTTTGAAAAACGGAAAAGAAAGACAAGTCTATGAGATTGCAGATAAATGAGACCAAAACAGGAAATGAACAAGTCCACCATTAAGACAGTCTGAGGAGAACGGGGCAAGGGTAAAGAGAGAGGGATGTAGAGGCACAGTGCCAAAGTATCAGAAAACATCATGATACTAGCGGTATAACATGCTCATAACAATGTATTCGCGAAGGCTTTCACGGCCGGGATCTAATGGTTGTTGTGGGGTTTTCGGGCTCTTTGGCAGTGTTCTGAAGGTTGTTCTTCTTGACATTTCGCCAGTCTCTGTGGCCGGCATCTTCAGAGGACTGGAGTAGGAACAGAGACTGGCGAGACGTTAGGAAAAGCAACCTTCAGAACACGGCCAAAGAGCCTGAAAAACCCACAACTACCATAGCCACACACATCTGCTGGATTTTTTTAAGAAGTCAGTTTTAATAATCTCAGAACAAGGACAAGTAAGGTCCAGTGCAGGAGATCCTAACTAGAAAAGGAATCCAAGAAGCGTGAGAGCTTTTAAAAACAGAAATTCTAAAGGCACAACTACAAACAATTCCAACAAGAAAAAAAAGCCAGGGTGGGGTGAGGCAGGAAAAAAGACCAGTGTGGATTCACAAAAAGCTCAGCGAGAACCTAAAAACCAAAAAAGGCATGTACAAGAAATGGAAAAAAGGCCAGGCCACCAATGATGAGTACAGACAAGTAGCAAGGAAATGCAGGGATGCAATTAGGAGGGAAAAGCTGAGAATGAGCTAAGGTCAGCTAGAGACACTAAAAGCAATAAAAAGCATTCTTCAGGTATGTGAGTAGAAAAGATAAACAAAAGACATGATCAGGAGGCTGGAAACCAAGCGTCATGAGGAAAGGCTGAAAGAATTAGGCATGTTTAGCCTTGAGAAAAGATGACTGAGGGGTGATATGATAGCAATTTGAAATATTTGAAAGTCTGTCATACAGAGGAGGGGTAAGATCTGTTCTTGATCATCTCAGAGTGCAGGACACACAACAATGAGCTCAAGTTAAAGGAAGCCAGATTTCGGTTGAATATCAGGAAAAACTTCCTAACTGTTAGAGCAGTACGACAGTAGAACCAGTTACCTCGGGAGTTGGTGAGTCCTCCAACACTGCAGATATTAATGAAAATCTTGGATAATCACCTGGCAGATATGCTTTGATTGTATTCCTGCATTGAGCAGGGGGTTGGACTTGATGGCCTTGTAGGCCCTTTCCAACTTCATTCTTCTATGATTCTATGATCTGTCAGAGTGTTTCTCCCGAATAATTGTTGCTTACCCCACCTGGCCCTCCCAGGTCTTGCTGTTATGGGTTGCCACGCTGAAAGAGGTGAGAAAGGCTTCTACTAGAACCTAGGCCTTCTTGATTGTGGCTCTGTCACTTTGGAACATTTTCTCGTTGGAGATTTGGCAGGCTCTCCAAAAAGATTTTTAAGAAGTTGGTAAAACGGAACTGTACAGAGAAGCTGTTGAGGACATCCTTCCCCTTCAGCAGGGCCTGACCCATGGCTTCGTCTTGGTTCTAGAGGATTTTAGTTGTATCTTTGGATTTGTTGAATTTTTAAAATTTTGTTTTCTGTTTTGGCTTGTGTTTTGTCATAGGTTGTGGGGGGGGTTGAAGGTAGGCTGGGTTGGGTTGATTCTTAGTTTGTATAGCTACCTTGAGTGAAGTGGTATAAAAATGTAATACATACATACATACATACATACATACATACATACATACATACATACATACATACATACATACATACATACATACATACATACATACATACATACATACATACATACATACATACAGTTTAAAAGCCACCTGCTGGGTGTTATGGCTGAGTGGTCTGACACTCTAACCACTACAGCACACTGGCTCTAAAATGCCTTCTTAAATACTGTACTGAAATACCCAACAGAACAGGGTTTGTGCTGAGAAAAGTGCAGGAACCAATGGAGTTCCCTGGCTATTGTTATGCTTGTGGCTTCCTATTTTATTCATTTCAAGTGGAATGACCTTTGGCAAACGGGGCATTTTTGTTGTTGTTCATTTTAAATTTAACAACATGGTAATGGCTTGTAAATGAAATACTGCTTGCTTATTGAAACCATATTCATAAGAAGAGAGCTCCCATGTGGGGGATGCATGTGTGTCCAATTGCTGCTAAATCTGGGTAAATATGCTTTTAATAAAGCACTGGCATTATTTAATGCTCGAGGAGTAACAACTACTTAAACCAAGAGCCAAATCTGCATATTAATGCAATCAAGATTTGAAAACTGGACCAAGCAGATTATTTCCTTGCAGCTGAGAGGGCTCCACCCAGTCTTTAATTTGAGGCCTGTGGTTCATCATCAGAGTTTAGCCTGGGATCAGCCCTGAAACATGGCAAGCAGGAAAAATGCAAACCCTTTCCATTCCACTCTGGCTCCCGGGGACCCGGCTGCCCTCCCTCTGTGGCCCAGAATGCACTGCACTGGTTGTCATGATACATCCCTTGATACATCTCTAGAATGGCTGAATCTCAGTGGAGCTGCTGCTTTGGAAAAGTATTCCAAATGGCAGCTTTTCCCAAAGGGGGAGACTTTTAACAAGGAGTGGCCCAAGAGAATATGTCATGCAGTGGCATAGCATGGGGGGGGGCACAGACAAAGGAGTCCAAGCTTTTGTGGGGGTTCTTACCTTTTCGCAGGTGGTGGCAGCCATCTTCAGAGGCAGGAGGCTGGGCTTCCCCTCCAGGGCCTGCTGCTTCCCCTACTCACCAACTGCCCAGATGTAGCCTGTGGAGAGGCAGGAAGGGAAGTCTCAGGAGAAAGAAGGGGTGATTGCAGAGGGGAATGGGGTGTGTGTCATGGGGGGGGTCAGGCCTGCTCGGCTTTCCTTCCAGGCCCATTGTCTGCGCAGGCCTGCACAGCAGTGCAGCGGCAGGAGCAGGTAGGAGGGTAGGGGAAGGGGTGGGGTGGTGTCACAGAAGGTGGCAGGGGGTCACGGAAGGGGTGGGGGGTTGTGGAGGCTTCCCTTCCAGGCCTGCTCTCTGCACAGGTCATGGAAGGCAGTGTGTGGGCAGGAGCAGGTAGAGGGGTCATGGAAGGGATGGGTCGGGGTGTGTGTGGGGGAGAGGGGTCATGGAAGGGGTTAGGGTCATGGGAGGGATGAGGCCTTCTTGCTTTCTGTGCAGGCCTGGAAAGCAGCGTTGCAGCAGGAGCAGGCTGGTGCTGGCAACCCATGCTATGCCACCGATGTCATGCCTTTTCTCTGAAAGATTCATGATTCCCAGTAAGTTTCTATGCCTAGTTCTTTTTGACTCACAGAATGGGGGAACAATTAGCCAATTAATGCCTTTTGCAAATAGCATTGAAACTGAGAGCTTGGTTATACGTCAAAAACACTCCTGTTTTTGAATTAGGTTTGGCATGTTTAAGATCGATTTTCAAAATTCCAGCAACACAGTGCACAGGGATGCACATTTTTTATTTTTATTTTTATTTTTGCCCAGGAAGAGTGTTTTTTTGGATGGAAAAAAGGTAATTTACTTAGTCACAAATGGATTGTTGCCGTCCATTAATTTTGAAAGGTAATTTACTTAGTCACAAATGGATTGTTTATTCTAAATCACTTGTGCCGTCCATTGATTTTGAAATGTTTTGGTATATGTGAATGCCTCTGTTGGTGTAAATTGTTTCTGTGGGTTTTGTCAAGTAACGAGTGCCAGGATAATGGGTTTCAGGCTGCAGAAAAGTCTTACAGACTGATCTGAAAAGAGAGTGGGCAGAAGAAAAAGGAAGTAGAGGAAAGTGCTCCCTTTTTTACAAGCCTAGAGAAGCTGTCAGGCTTGTCTTTTTCTCTGGTCAGTTTCTCATTGCCACTCACTGATGTGCCTTTCCTTTGGATAGCCCTGGCTGCCAGTTCTGTTACTTCCTCTTGTTCTCCACCCTGTGTGCGTGTCAAACTGCAGGGAAAGCTCTCAATCTGATCTGTCTTAATTTTTTTTTTATATTTGTCATACTGAACTAGTGCTATGCCAGACTGCAAGAAGAAAATATACCACAGCAACATTGTGGCTATAAGAGGCAACCAGCACAAGGCCCACAAATGCAATCTTTCTAAAAGTTGAAGTAACCCTCTCCAACAACACAGTTAAATTTTTCCCCAAGAGGAAGCAAACACTGACCCAACAACCACATGGCTACTATGTTACTTTAAACCGACTTCAAAACCTCAGATCCATTTCCCGATTTATTTTCATGCTGTAACCATGCTCTGAAATAATTGTAATCGGTTTGAAGTGTCATTGTTATTCTACGATGTCAAGTTGCCTCTGCTTATGGCCATCTATGAATTAGTGACCTCAAAAAGGTCCTGTTATTAAAAGCCATGTTCATCTCTTGCAAACTGCTTGCAAAGGGACATCCCAAAAGATCTATGCTGAACTTATTCACCCTCCTTCAGAGCAGAGATGTCTTTCCCCATTACTTAATCACATCTGTAACATTCTGGAACTGGGTTTTGCAATGCAGATATAGGGTTGGATCTATACCTGGATCTTTCTCCCTGGGGAAAAAAACTACTCAAGGTGCTCCTATTGAAGATTGCATCGGCTTTTGTCAACATTTCTTTCCCCACACAATCCTTCCCACATGTCCTCCTTGAAAGGATTCTCTGAAGGCATGAGGATTCCCCCCACTCCTAATATCAGACATTTATGTGGGGTGCTGCAGGGGTGGGTGGGTAAGAAATCTCTTTCTCCTTTTCTCCAGTGAGAACCTGTGGCTGGATGTTAATCACTTTTATAAAGAAAATGGATCATCAGACCCATAAACATAGATTCTGATGGGTGTGGACTCAGTAATTGGATGAAGATTGGGCACGACTGTGTGTGTTTATGAAGGAAAAGAAAAGCAAGCAAGTTTTCTTTCTGGATGGAGATATGAGAGATGTAAATGATCAGCCTTAGCAACCTAGTGAAGATATGTTTCTTCAGCCAACTCCCTTTTGAAATATTTTAGTCAGTGTTGCATTAACACTCTTATTCTTGAGGCTATCTTGATACCTGCCAGGATTCCAGCAGGCAGAGGTTTTAAACCCACTCGCAAAACTCCAAGAAAGCTTAGTATCTGAATGTAAAAAAAATATCAAAAAGGTTAGAAGAATTAGATCACATTTTTTTAAAAAAAGTTAAAATCAGCATAGTGTAGTGGATTGAGTGATGGACCAGGATTCAGGAAACCTGAGTTCAAATACTTGCTCAGTCATGGAAGCCCGTGGGATACGTGTGTGGAAGTGATGAAACCACTCGTTAAATAACTCACTATGAACACCTTATCAGGGTTGCTATGTGCTGGTTCTGACAATAGCACATAACAGATACCACCTTTTCAGTTACTAAAATGCCATTGGGCTGAGTATTAGTGTCCATTGTTTCCCAAAAAATTGAATCATAAGAGTGCAAGCTTTATAGACATTGTGACCAACAGCTGCAAGTGACCACTAGTTTGCAAGTGATCTGTAAATCCATATCATCTACAACTCAGTACATCATAAGCTGAGATCAAAGAGGCTGGTGCGTTTCCATCCTATTATTCTTCAGAGAAACTCCTAGGTGGACTATGCAGTATTCTAACAATACCCAGAAAGGTAGATCTGGTTGGAAATGATATGCCAATGGTCATCCAATGAACTTCAGCTAACTGTTAGTTTGTCCCAATTTTCCCCAGTTTATGTTCTCTTCACTCATGTACCTTATGACAGGAGTGTATGCTGCACAGCATGCTGCCATATGGCTCCATCTGCTTTCAGAAGCTGAGCAGCATTGGTCTTGGTTAGTAATGGGTGGGCAACCACCAATACTTTACCATGGGGGTGGGGGCTAGGAAAGAGTCCTGCTTAAAACCCTGTAGAGTGGCTACACATAGGAGCTGATAAGTTAGATTTGGTATGAAGTAGGTGAATAAATACATTTAGAAAAACTAAAAGCCTGAGAAACTTACTATTGCAGAGTAGAACTCCACAATGTCCCCAGCCAGCATTGTCACTTGCCAAACTGATACTTCCAAGAGAGAGAGAGAGAGAGAGAGAGAGAGAGAGAAAGAGAGAAAGACTGTACTGCTTTCCAACCTCTGAAAAAATGCTATTCAGTGGATCAACTGGCAGCCTGAGCTAGGTGATTCAAAGAAAAGTTATACACCCTCAGAGTCACCAGTCTATTAGGTAAATTTGTTTCCAGTATCAAGCAGAACAGTAGTCATTTTTTAGATGGATGAGGTACCTCATGGGTTGTAGCATCTGGCTGGGGAGCCAAAAGTTGGGAGTTTGATTCCCCACTGTGCCTCCTTGGAAAAAAGACAAGCTGTGTAGCCTTGAGCAACTGCACTGCCCCAGAATATGACAAGAAAAAGGCAGAAACCAGTTCTCCATAAAGAGAAGGGTCTCCATAAATCAGAACTGACTTAACGTGCAATGCTAGGAGGTTGCTTGTCATCACTCTTGTAAGAAGAGGATGTGTGGGAGGATACTAGAAGCTGCCTACCCTTGCCATGTTATTGATTGATGACAGGAGCCAGATACTGGAGACTCCAGCCATGTTCTTGGACAAGGCTACGTTAGACTGGATACTGGTGTGGCTCTGAAGAGGTAAGTAAGGGAAGGGACTGGGAAAGATAATTTGCAGCAACTCAGGTTTTGTGCTCATTTATACAAGCCTTCTCTCCAAGGGGTATGTTCTGAATCTAAGCTCCCTCCTCCTTTCTACCTTCCAGAACCTGGACTCTTGAGAGAATTTCAGTGAAACCATCAGGGCCCCATGTTGACAACTATTTTAGAAACTGTAATTTGACCCTGTGGGACTAGGGGCCAGGAGGCAGAGGGAATTGCTGCTGTAATTGTAATAAAACTGATATGAGTCAAGAAACTGATCTGGAACACATGGAGTTATTAACAGGGAACCCTGGCTCTGTTGGCTAGGTGGCTCATGGGCCCCACAGGAATTCAGCTTCTACAGTGGGGTCTTGACTTGAGAACTTAATCCGTATTGGAAGGCGGTTCTCAAATCAAAAAGTTCTCAGGTCAAATCTGCATTTCCCATAGGAATGCATTGAAAACCATTTGATCCGTATCTGCTCTTTTCCGTCCATAGAAACTAATGGGAAGCTGCTATTCCACCTTCGACCACTAGAGGGGGATATTTTGTTTCTTTTTTTCTTAGGTCAAGAAAGGTTCAGGGAAGGCAGGGAAAATACAGTCCAGGCAGTCTGAAGACTGTCTCCCAATCCTCTCTCTAAACGCTGGGAGGAGCGAGGATGCAGACAGGCACCCTTTTCACTGACCAACCGTTAACTGAAAGTTCAAATTTTGCACTTTCCCTGCCTCCCACGTGGGTTTTTGTCAGTTCGTAATTCAAATCTAAGTATGTAAGTCAAGTCAATATTTTCCTATGAGAGCGGTTTGTAAGTCAAAATGTTCTTAACTCGGGCCGTTCTTAAGTCAAGACCCCACTGTATGTTGCCAAGGAACAGGAAATCTAACAACAAAATTTTATCCCCAAAGTGCATGGAACAACAGACAACATAGCCATGAAGTCATATTGCACCGTCAATAGTATTTCAAGCATGGGAAACAATTTCTAATCTCAGTAACAGTATACCAAACTATTTCTAACAATGATTCCAAAATAAAACCAACAGTTAAAACAAAGTACAACACTGCTTTACTGGCAGAAAGTCTAAAAGATGTTGCCCATTAAAGCTAAAATGAAGAAAGGGTTGCACATGATAAAAGCGTTGCTGCCTATCTGCACTTCAGCGTAACAGAGAAGATGAAGTGCTTTGGGGTAGAGCAGAGAAGAAACATTCCTGGAAGAACAATAGGGTGGAGATACCATTACGGAGAGGGAAGAATATTGAATGCAGGAGGCAAGCAATTGGAGGAATGTGATGCAGAGAAGCAGGACATTGTGTTTTTGGAGCTACACAATTTATATTAGGCCATTCCTGAAGACCAGGATTCTGAATTGCTGGCATATTGACAACAGTCTCAGGTTGGTCTCACAGACAGTGATTCTGAGCTGCAGGAATGGAGTCAGTAGACAATATGGAGAACTCTGTGTCTGAAAGGATTTGTGCCATTTCCTGGACGACGTGATATGTGATGATGGTAACGGGTGACTCTATTGAAAGGAACGGGGGCAACAATGTGTGGACCTGTCATAATGTGCTTTGGAAATGGGCTGTCCATATAACAATTCAAGAAATGACAGAGAAGTTGCTGAGGCTCTTTGAGCACATTGGTCATAATCCCTTCCTTCTGATCTACATGGGAACAAGGACACTGTTGCACACAGGCTTCAATATATTGCATGTGACTGTGGAGTTCTGGTCAAGAAGTTGAAGGACTGGGTGGTGGTGGTGGTATTAAGCCATTCTTTCCTGCTGAAGGTTGTAGGCCAGGGAGGGGATAGGAGGAAAGCATACAGAACATGAAAAATTGGTGGTGTAGAAGATGGCGCTGTCAGGAAACCATAGTCTTTAGCTTAATGAGGAAGAACTCACAATATGAGGGTTGCCCTCCAAAGTGTGGGGAAGAGTATGTTTGCTAGAAGTCTTGCAAACCTGATCGGGAGGGCTTTAAATGGAATATGTTGTAGGCAGGAGAGAATTCTACAATTATTAGACCACTAGAATCTCTCACAAAGGAAAGCTTTCGAGTCTTGCAAGACTCTTTAATCAGTCTGAGCACTAGAGAAGGGGGAGGGAGAAGAAATGGAAAAGTCCCCAAAATAATCACAGCCAGATGTTGAGGCCAGCTTCTCTTGTTTAAGGTAAATACCAAAATGGAGTCTTGAATCTTGTAAAATCAGCTTGAGGTAGTAGAGTTCAGGTTTCACCTCAGACAAGGTGGATTTCAATGTCTTCCCAACTTTGGTAGACAAAGAACTGCCAGCTGCTCAGCATCTTTCCCATTGCTTTATATTGGAACACATAGCTGTCCTCTGAAGATGCCGGCCACAGAGACTGGCGAAACGTTAGGAAGAACAATCTTCAGAACACGGCCAAAGAGCCCAAAAAACCCACAACAACCATTAGATCCCGGCTGTGAAAGCCTTCGCAAATACATCAAAATATTCAGTATGCTTGTCATAGTAGGTTGTAATTAGTGTAGGCCCATTTGAATTAATGTCTGTTACAGAGGAGTTGACTCACTAATT